TCAAATTAATCAATTACTAAACAAAATACCCCTGAAACTACTGAAATTACCATTCGACCCCCATCCCTTTCAATCTGTACCAAAACCATATCAGCTATAACCAATTCACCTAATCAACGATCCAATTAACAAACAAACTTTGAATAAACAAACTCGCCAAACAAACTCCTAATCGAAAACATTCATGAATTAACTACAGAGTCAGATTCATATCAACAAACTTAACAGGACAAACAAGTAGATTTAAATCACTAAACTCAACATCAGTTGAACTCAAACTAAATCAAACAACATCATAACAAAGATGAATGATTCAAACTAAATCAAAAACTAAAGACCAGCACATAAACACTCGTCATTAAATCACTTGATGAAAAACTAACGAACTTTAAACAAAAATGAACACGAATTATCTCTAATACAAACAAAGACCTGGATTCGAATTCAAACCAACCTATCGGAACACGAACATAATCATAGAAAGAAGAAAAGAAGCGAAAGATGAATTCACTGAACGAAAAATAAAAGAAAAGGGAACGGAAACCTACTGGTTTAAAACCCGAGTTCGAATGGCAACCTCGACACGCCTGAACAAACATCATTGTTTTCAACCCATTTTAGTTTTTGATGCAATGACGATCGAGTTCACTGGTTTGTGGTCGTTAGCGGATGAAGCTGGACGTAGCAGAAGCGATGGTGGTCACTCATGTGGAGTGGTCATTGCTGGTTTTTCCGGCGACTGGAGGAAATGACGAAGGAGATGAAGTTGGTTGTTTGGACGAGCTGTTGGTCGACGATGAGCTACTAGTGGCGGCTATGGCAGTTGAAGACGAAGAAGTGGCCATGGTGGTCGTGGAGCTGCTCCAGGTTGTCGTGACGATGTTGAAGATAAAGAAGAAGAAGCAGCAGCCTTGGCAACTGGCTGGAGCTTGCGACTGGAGGGCTGCCATGGGGTGTTGGTCGTCGATGGCTGGAGCTCGACGACGAAGAAGGTGAAGCAAAAAAGGTGGTCGACGGAGGTGAGGTGAAGCATGTGCAGAAGGGCGTCCATGGGAGGTCATTGAAGAAGAAGCAGCAAGGGACGATGGGGACGACGGGGAGGGCAATTTGTGACAGTGGTCGACTGGTACGGTGTTGTCGTGCGACGATGGGAGATGGTCGTCGTCTGGGCGTGATGGTATTGCTGGGGTGGTCGTGGTGGACGCAAATGGAGGTTGGGATGTTGGTAGGAGATGTGTGTGTGTGTGTGTGTGTTTTCTTGTTGAAGGAGGAGGATGAAGGGGCAGCAGCTGCCATGGAGGTGAGAGGGCAAGAGGGTGGTTTGGAGAAGATGATGCAACAGGGGGGGTGGTTTTTTAGGGTTTTGGGAAAATGAAGAATGAAAAATGGGAAGGGGGGGTAACTTGTTTGGTTATGGGGCGGACCGGGTNACCACGAAAATTCGCAAAATTGCACACAAAGGAAAATTGTTTTATTTTGAATTTTTTTTGGGAGTAATTCTCACATAGGGCAAAAATCACGTGCTCACAGCTGCCCCTCTTTGTTCGAAAACACAAAGAGTTTTCGTGCAAAGCTAAAGTGAGCAGATACGAGCGATTTTTGCCCATCCGAGTACTCCGTGTGAAGCAATTGTTTGAAAAATTTAACCAAACCTTTGCTTCAAAGGTTTCCTACATATCCCTGGCTAGAAGGGAATCAGGTTAATGTAGTTCGGGAAGTTTTGGTAGCTGGGCCTACCATGGGACTGCAATGTTACTGCTGTTGCATACTGTTATTACTGCTTGTCGACCTCTTTATTACACCATGCTGAAAGAAAACAAAAGCTAGACTAAATGATAGTCTATGAATTATAAAATCTTATCTAGATCTTCAGTCGTGCTCTTGTGTCTCTTGTTGCTTTGATGTCTCGGTGACTCCTCTGGTATTTCTTTACTTCTGATTTGTCTTGTATTCCCCTTTGACTGCCGATCTCGAACTACTTATTTCTTACTCGTGAGCTTTGCATTATTTTTCCATCAAATCTTGAACTTCCTTCCTCAGCTGGGGATTTTTGTTGTTTTCCCGTTGGGATTTCGGTTGTATTCCTCTTTGCTATATGACCTCAACAACAACTTCGAAAAATAAATCGCCATTCTGTTCTTCATGGGGGGCTCCCTGATTTTAGGAAAACTAAACATTGATAATCTTAAGAAGACTAAAAAAATGGCTCCCCTTTTTTTCCAAAATCAAACTTCTATTTTTTTTTCAAATTATCCTAGGAGAAAATTCGTTAGACTAGGTCTTCTATCTTAGGAGAAAGATTCATCAGACTAAGATTTTGATCCTAGGAGAAGATTCATCCGACTAAGACGTTTATCCTAGGAGAAAATTCATCAGACTATGATTTCTATTTTTGTTATCTTAGGAGAAATATTCATTAGACTAAGATTATTTTTGTTATCTTAGGAGAAATATTCATCAGACTAAGATTTCTATCCTAGGAGAAAGATTCATCAGACTAGGTTTTTCTATCTTAGGAGAAAGATTCATCAGACTAAGATTTTGATCCTAGGAGAAGATTCATCAGACTAGGTTTTCTATCTTAGGAGAAAGATTCATCAGACTAAGATTTTGATCCTAGGAGAAAGTTCATCAGACTAGGTCCTCTTTTTGTTATCTTAGGAGAAAGATTCATCAGACTAAGATTTATATTGAGAGGAAAATCCATTAGACTAGGACTTTTATCCTAGGAGGAAAAATGTGAAGATCAATGGCATGCTTTTATGCACAATAGCAAGACAAATTAAGACAAAAATTTTGAGAAACTTCCCTTTGTCGGCTCTTTTCTTCTTTTCTTTTTCTCTCTTTTATTTTTAACCATTTTCCTTGCCCTGCTTTGTTCCTGTTTCACACAAAGAAAAATTTGTCAATTTTGAAAATGGTGGTCGGTTTGTGGCCTTGAGTCTTGAGCAGCTTGGCTTTTGCTCGATAATCTTGAGTCAGTCTCAAGAAACTTTTGTTCTACACCAACTCTGACTGTTTCACACCCGGTACCATTTGTATTTCTGGCTCAATTAGCATTATCCCAACTGAAGATCTTTTCTTAGATGATCCTTTCTGATATCTGAGCACTTTGTATGTCAGAGAGAATCACTAGTTATCTTTGTTTGCGCCAACCAGGCTGACAAGAGTCTTTTGGGGGAGCCTTTGTATGAATCCTCAAGGCATGTTGACATTAACAACTGAGTTTACTGGCCAAATTTACTTTGTACAACTGAAAAGCTGGTAGCAGATTTTGAAATCTTTCTTGCTTGTTTTGAGTAGGACTAACTCAGGGTGAAGGACACAATGACGCAAATAAAAATATTAACAAGAAATGCCCCTGTCGGAAGGACAGAAGGAAGAATTTTTTTTTCAATAACTAGCCTTAATAATCATGACATGCATTTTGGACTCAATGGCTTGATTTATTAAACTAATCCAATCTTCCCTTTTACCATTCTTATGATCTTTGAAGTCAGGCCTATCCGTGTCAATCCTTTGCATCAGCTTCACGACTCACTTTCGACTAGTAGCGCCCGAGGGGTTTTCACCAACAAGTCTCTCTCATCTATTCATCTTTGCTTACCGTCGTCTTACAATGCCCGTGAGGGTTTTCACTAGTAAGACTCTCTCATTTTTCTTCTCTATTTTTTTTTTTTTACTTTCTTGTGCAAACATCCTGACAGTGTTATATGTTGCGTGACAACCCTTGCTCATTGCATGCTTCTCTTGGCATTCTTGAAGGCATATCGGGAGGTCTTTATTTGGAAGGTTTTGGATAGGGCTGGAAAGAAGGGTCGACATGAAGCCTCAAAGTAGACTCAAAATGAGGGGTTGTAGACTTACAACTCTTGGAATCGACTCTTTCAAAAGTGAAATAAAATTTTTTCCCCAGTTTCAGATGCTGGGGATTTTTGGATTTTTCTATTTTTTTTCTTTTTTTTTCTTCTAAATTCTTATTTGGTTGGACCGAACTGTGAGGCTGCCTACGTATCCTATTTTTTAAGGAATTAGGTCGAACGTAGTTCAAACGTCTGACCTAACTATAATTTTCATCATTATTTCCTTTTTTTTTCAAAACAAGTTGCCCCAGCTTCTATTTTTGGAGGCAGATAATCCTTTTCTTCTTTTTTTTTTCTTGAACTTTCTAAGAATTGCCCCAGTTTGTACTCTTGGGACATGGACTCTTTTTATCTTTTTCTTTTCTTTTTTTTTTCTTTTTTTTCATTCATTTTTTTTTTCCGACTCTAAACTTGATTCCAAAAGAGGGTGGTCAAAGAAAATAACACATGCTCAAAGGGGTGACAAAGGATATAAAGTGTTTGGGTAGCGAAAAAAGGGCCTCCTAGCATCGAGAATGCCAATCATGCTATCTTTTCACGATCCCAGCATTGACGAACATGTCTGTCTTCTTCGTGTGTCGTGGTCACAAGACACTTTCCATCCCTTAATGTCAAACTTTCCAACAAACTTCAATTGATTCTTCCTCAAGCCCGATCTTCACAATGATTTGAAGGTGAATTTTACTCGAACTTAGTCCCAAAGTACTTCAACTATTTTTTTTATTTATTTTTTGCATCTTTGAATAAACCATATAAAATTGTGTCGATAATTGTCGACCATGTCTGCCCCTAACAAAACATGTACATTCAGTGATTGAATGTCTATTTTGTTGTACCAATAGATTGAGAAAAGAGATGTAACTTGGTTCTTTGCAAAAAGCCAAATTAAAAGGAATTCTCAAGTAACTGTGCATATCTAGTGTGCTTCCATAATGAGAACATTGACCTTCATGCTCGTAATCTATCCAGCTTATGGAAAATTCTCCAAGGAAATGAACAGAATATGGCAAATCACCCTTTGAGGTCTGATCAACAAGAGAGGTATGTCAAACGAACTTGTTCCTGCAAAAAAGAAAACTGAGTTATTTAAAAAATGCATCCTTTCAGTTGTAATCATCTTCGTTTTCATGTGCATCCTTAAAATCTTGCAACTTTAACTCTTAGGTATGGACATTGTAATTTGTCATTGTTGACAATTTTCCTGCCTTTTATATCCAGTTCTTGAAAGCAGTGTGCTTGGATGTTGCCTATGTCGATCGCATGATTCGCTAAATGGTCAGCCAAGCAATTCCCCTCTCTCATAATATGTGACAGATTCACATGCATTCTAGTCATTACATGTACGATATCTTCTACATATTCTGCAATTACACAAGGTACAACCCAAATTCCTTCTATGGCATTCTTCAAGAGGAGCGAGTCAGTTTGCAAAATAACTTGTGCGAATCCTTTCTCTTCACAATATTTTAGTGCTTCAACAATTGCCAAAGCCTCTGCCACATTGTTTGTAGTGTCATGTATCAACTTTCCACAAGCATACTTTATGTTACCTTCATCATCTCGAAGTGCATATCCAATTGAGCTCCTGCCCGGATTTCCTCTCGATGCCCCATCACAATTGACTTTGATCCATCCTTGTGGTGGAATTTCCCATAGAACTTTAGTAACCTTCAATGGTGGTGTGTAGTGTTCCATCATGTGCAGCAGATTTGNAATTTCCCATAGAACTTTAGTCACCTTCAATGGTGGTGTGTAGTGTACCATCATGTGCAGCAGATTTGGCCAAATTTGAGGAACGTTAACCAAGCCAGGTTTCCTTAATCTGACAAGCGATTGAATGGCTGTGGATACTTGATATATCACCCTTCTTATCGTTACAGCTTCACCATGTTTGTAGATGTTTCTTCTCTTCCACAGCTCCCACAAAATGATCGAAGGAAGTGCTTGAAAAATCGGCTTCAATCTTGGTACAACTCTGATTGTACAACACTTCACGATTGCCTGGTGCATTGACATACCGTCCAGATTTATTCCAGAATTCCTTAGGAAATAGGACCAAACTTTGTTCGGTGCGAAAGAGGAAAAAAACAGATATGCTAAGGTTTCTTCCTCTGGTTGCACACAGCACCAGCAGCGTGAAGGCATGGAGTATCCCACTCTCTTCAAATAGTCATCTAGAGGTAATTTTGCCCTCCACACTTTCCACATAAAGAACGATATATTGAATGGTAAACCCTGTACCCACATGTTTTTGTATGTTGTCCCTGTATCGTTTCTCAGTCTCAAATATTCCCACGCCGATTTAACTGAAAAATTACCAGCTGTCTCGAGGCACCAGTATGGTTTGTCAAGTAATTACCAACTATTTATTCATCCTCAAAGGTGTTTTTTTTGTTATCCAATTCCAAATTAAATCAGTTTCTAAGATCTGGCCAAAATATCCGCATGCATGTCATGTCATTAGAACTAGCGAGAAAAAAACTAGAAATAGAATGACACAAAAGGACAAACTATATTTTATTGAATAAGGATGGAAGGGTTTGACAACTAAACAAGCAACCTAAAATCCGAGTACAACCCTAAAATAACCCGGCTAAAGAAAATAGCAACAAAACAGACAGACAAGACTCAAACAGAATGGAGGGATAGAAGGGTTTGACTTAATAAAACAAATAAAATCTGGATCACGACCCTGAAATAACCTAGATAATAGAAAAAATATCAAAACAAGCTACCAAGATTCCTTCCTAGTGAGGAGGGAATGACTTTTCAATTGCTAGACTTGACATTTAGCCACAAATTTGCTCATCAGAATTAGCAGAGCCTTCTCCAATTTCACCATCATTAACTTCAGTCAGCAAGCTCCCGAGAGGATTCTCAAACTCCATGTCACCAGGCATCTTCCCCACAAAGTGTTCATCATGATGTGCAGGTAAAGGATTCTGCGCGATTCTGGGTGTCACTATATTGGATCACAATCAAATTTTCCTTGATCATCCTTTCTATTTCTCTTTTCAAATCCCGACAGCTTTCAACATTATGTCCCTGAGCATTGGAATGGTATTCACACCTTTTAGAAGGTTCAAAGCTTCTTGCACGGGGGTCCAAATGATTTGGAGGAATAGCTGCAATCATGTCATGATATTTTAACTTCTCAAACAAGCTTGCATAGGACTCTCCTATTGGCGTAAAATTATCTTTCAACCTTTGTTGCCCTTTATACCTCTGGCATGGATGTGGGTTATAGGGAACCTGAATATTTTGTGGAGGCTGTTGGAGGTTTCGTGATGCTCGTGCTCTCCTTCTGGTGTGTTTTGGTGGCTGGACAACATACTGAGGTGGAGCGACAGAGTATTGAGGGTTCTGAGGTGGATAATACTGCTTAGGGGAGTCATGAAAAACTTGAGGAGGCTGCTCATACCTTCGAGATGTTCTCCTGGGACCTCTTCTCGACCCTAATGTCATCATGATTTCTTCAATCTTCTCATTTGTGTCGCTAAAATTATGAGACTCAACCTGGACAGCCTGAGTTGCGGCTTTTAAAACTGCTTGACTTATAATTTTGCCTGTCTTAAGACCATTCTCTATCATTTCTCCCATTTTGATTGCTTCCGAGAAGGATTTGCCAACTGCGGACATCATGTTTTGAAAGTAATCTGGCTCTTGCGCTTGAAGGAAGACAGTTATTAGCTCGTGGTCATCCATGGGTGGCTTAACTTGAGCTACTTGCTCTCTCCATTTAATGGCATATTCCCTAAAACTTTCACTTGGTTTCTTCTTCAGGTTTGAAAGGGAAATGCGGTATGGGGCAATGTCGATGTTGTATTGGAACTGTTTGACAAAGGCCTATGCCATGTCATCCCAGACATACCAGTGAGACGTGTGTTAATCCATAAACCATTCGGAGGCTACTCCTGTAAGGCTTTCCACAAAATAAGCCACCAACAATTATTCATTTCTTCCTGCACCTCTCAGTTGATTGCAATATCTTTTCAGGTGGGCTATGGGATCTCCATGTCCATCGTACTTTTCAAATTTGGGAGTCTTGAAACCAGGCGGCAAGCGGACATATGGGAACATACATAGATCTTTGAAGGCCACACTTTTTTGACCTGTCGACCCTTGCATGTTTGTCAACCATTGTTTTAAGCTTTTCACTCTTTGGGTCATTTCTTTGTGTACCATCTTTCGGGTAGGCTTTTCAATCTTTGCAGGAAGATCAAACGAGTACAAGTGGTACTCAGGAGAGTGGTACTGCTCTTGTTGTGTCGCAAATTGTGACTCATGACGAGGCTGTCCTTGACCACTGGCCCATGCTTGACACATTTCGGTCATTTGCTGTTTCAGTATTCTATTTTTCTCCAGCACAGTAGACTCTTGTTGAACCCTCTAACCCTGAGTCTATTGAGCACTTGTAACAGCTTCGATGTCAGTTATCATTTTCCTTAGATCTTGTGTTTCCATCTTACCACAAACCGACCACCTCAGCTTTCTTCACAATTCAAAACATGTTAGAATGGACTCAGTCGGTCCTTATTATTATCAATATTTTCCATTTCTGCATTTTTTTCACTTCTTTTTAATGGTTATCGAACCTGATGTGGGTTGCCTACGTATCATGTGGGAACATGAATTAGATCTTGCGTAGTTCGGGAAGATTAGGAATAAAGGAAATAAACTAAATTTATGTTTTTCTAGATTTCGAATTTTCTTTTCTTTTTCACTTTTTTTCAAAAGAAAGACTTATAAAGAAGAAAGAGAATATTTGTGGATTTTGATTTTTCTTCAGCATTCTTGCAAAGAAAGACTTCTAAAGAAGAAAGATTTTTTTTTCCTTTTTTTTTTGAATTTCGACTTTTATTGTTTTTTTTCGGAATTTCGATAGAAAAACTTCTAAAGAAGAATTTTTTTTTTTTGCATTTATGGATTTTTATTCTGAAGTTAGGAAAGAAGTACTTCTAAAGAAAAGGAAAGTATTTTTGAATCTTGGATTTTTTTTCCAGTTTTTTGAAAGAAGAATGAAAATATTTTTGTATTATTTTTTTTTTTTGATTTTGAGAAGAAACTAAAAGAAAATATTTTTTGTATTTTTAAAAAATTAGGGTCTCAAAGAAAAAAAATTCTAAAGAAGGAATTAAAAGAATATTTTTTGAATTTTTGAAAATTGGGGGCCGGAACCGATGAGATTTGCCTACGTATCTCACATCCGGTGAGAATCAGACCCGTGTAGTTCGCCCAACATAAACTAAACTTGTAAACAAGACTCCTTTCTTTTGTTTTTCAAATAAATCAAACTAAAAGACAATTTTTTTTTTCATTTTTTCAAAATTTCGGCAGGGTTTTGACACTACTTGGACATTGGTTTTATTTTTCTAAAAATAAGTAGTTATCTCCCTACACTGCTATTTTTCTTTTTCTCTTTTTCACAATTTTTCAAAAATTCTCGATTTCAGAAGCCGGTCAACATGCAGATCTGAAGCAAATAACTGTGCAAAATAAACAGAATGCAGCAGAATGGTCTTTTTTCATTTCAGGATGATTGTCCTAGACGGACCCAACCCCTGTGTTGAGTCCCCTAAGTCAAGTGCACATGATGCAAATAAGCGTTCCTACTAGGGATCCGGCATGAGGTTTTGTTATACTAGGTTTATCCTCGGTGTTTGTTCTAGACTTGGCTTACCAGAGCGGACAACTCGAGTCGAGGATGGGAACTGCGTACCGGTAACCAAAAGATCATCCGGTTTTGCAACTCCTCCGAATCCTCGTTCTATTTTGGGATATGACACTAACAGAAAGAAGTCACGACCAGCGTGCACTCCTCAAGAGAGATAAGAGAGGAATTTCGTAGCAGTTTATATATACAGTTTAGATAATATCAAAGCGGTAAAAGCATCGCTTAGCACATTAGGCCCAAACATGTAGCAAAATCAGATAAAGCCAAATATAACAATTTATCTAAGCTCGAATTTTAAACCCTGAACCTGAGGTTCTGGGTTCGGTCCCCAGCAGAGTCGCCAGAGCTGTCACACCTCCTCTTTCTGCTACACCCCTGCTAAGGGACGTAATGGGAGTTTTTCCAATTAAAGCACAATCGAAACGGGATTTTATTTAAAGATTCAGAGTCGCCACTTGGGAGATTTATGGTGTACCAAGTCACCGGTTGAATCCCGAATCGAGGAAAAGAATGACTCTGTTTAACAGTCTGCGCACCAGAAATCCGGATAAGGAATTCTGTTAACCCGGGAGAAGGTGTTAGGCATTCCCGAGTTCCGTGGTTCTAGAACGGTCGCTCAACTGTCATATTCGGCTTGATTATCTGATTTTATACAATTATGAACCTACGTGAAAATTTTAACTGTTTACCGCTTTTTGTTATTATTTATTCAAAGAATTGCAACATCGTGACAATGCATCTCGAATTGCGCCATATAAATGTACCCGCAATTTTCGATACGTTCCAACTTCGTTCAGATTTGGATTTGGGTCACATAAATGTGCACCCGAGTTTAAGAAGATAACATTATTAAATACGCGCCTAAAACGACTAGCGTATCATTATTTTGGGTAGGACCGTGAAATTTCGCTAAACGGACCATCCCGAAGTCTAAGTAATTTTACCAACACGTATAGAGGGCCCCGCAGCTTGTGTACTTTTGTTTGTCGAGGCTCATCTCATTCATTTATTTTTAAAAGGAATTTGCAACATCGTGGAAATGCATCTCGAACCACGTCACAATCATGTACCCGTGATTAGAGACACATTTCAACTTCGTTAAGATTTGGATTTGGATCACATAAATGTGCACCCGAGTTTAAGAAAGTAAATTATTAAAAGTACGCGCCTAACAGTGACTAACGCGTTATTACTTTTGGGGAAAAAAAGCCGTGAAATTCGCTAAGCGGCCGATCCTGAGTTCTAAGTAATTAATATATATACAATCGTGAGGGCCCCGCAATCGGTGATTTTTACTAGGCGAGGCTCATCTCGTTTATTTAGAAAGGACAATCCTAAAGTGACTACATTTTTTATTAAGTTCGTCTCTAAAATAAAAGAGAAGAGGTCCTAATTAGTTACATGTTTGTAAGCTTGTGCCTCTTATTATTTATTAGATTAAGACAAATGCAAACGGAAAACTGCAATAGAGCTTACTCAAGGGAGATTGTATCGTTCCTTATTCTATTAGCTAATAACACTAAACTTGAGATTATGAATAGAACACGAGATTGACACCCAGTAATATCAAAAC